AAAGCCCCCCCCCCCCGAGAATAGTGTTTAGTTAGTGAAACTGGAAAAGGATTCAGTCACTGCTTCACGCGCGCCATCGGAAGGACATCATATGTTAGATCCTTATAGGATCGTTTGAATTAGCCACAACGAGAGAAAACAAAAAAGACGACAATTTTCGGTATGCTATGCTATTCGACGAAAAGTGCGTGTCCGTTACGCCTCTCAAAACCTCAGTATGATAGGGGGTGGGTGTCGAGGGATGCGGCTGGTCATCCTGCCCTTGGACCTCGCGAAATGCTCGCATTAGACCAAGCGTCTCAAATAGCTTCGGCTACGGAAGCCCTACTCACTGCCTTCTCGTGGAGGATGTGTGTTCCCACCACAGTAATAGGATGGAAAGCCTATATCCAGGTTGGTGGACCACTGGCAGTCCACCTAGGGGAGTTGGTCAAAATCCCTGATTCCAAACCAACTAACAGAAGGCGTACGAACCGCACACACCTTCACGGTTGTGGTCACCGGCTCAATTGAGTATCGAGGTGTATTGGGCACCTTGAACGTTTGACCCCGTCCGAAGGGTGTATGATCCGATGAACTGGACACTAGCTCCCAATGGATTGCGGTTTACACACACCGCCCCCCTGCCTTGAGGGTCAGACTGGTTAGCCAAAGACTCTTGTTGTGGATTTCGCAAGAAAATTCACCTACCTGGGCCTGGGCAACCTGGCAGTATTCAGCCCACAAGCCAACCATGGACTTTTTTCTTTTTTATAAAGATTATTTTACCATGATTTGTTTGACACAGTCTGGATTGTATGAATATGTTCTTTACAGGTTCGCCTTTTCGTGAAGGACACTGTTGAGCGGAGTCAGTCTCAATCCATTCCATGAACCCGATCGTATGAGTCGGAACAATAGATAAACCTTGTCAAGCGTATGGCTAAGCTTATTGAACGAGACCAAAGACAACAATGTGCACAGCGAAACACGATCCTAGGCGGGGTCATAATTACACAACACATTCACCCGCCCCCGCACACACAAACATGCTGTTTCACACCATTCAGTGTCATATTGATTCTGACTATTTACTGATTCGCATACTTCTGTCAAAGACCACCCGAGGTGACCGGAACGTTGAGCAATACACGACTCCCGTTTACCCACGTTGTGTTATTCACAAGCTTTTCCGGACTTTACACAATGCCGAACATACCGTACAAGTTCTTCGACCGCATACTTACCGATATTACAAAATATCTTAATAGGTCTTCACCAAATATGGTCAATGCATTTTGGTAACAGTTACAAAATGGATGATCGAAAAAAATGAACTCACGGACTAAATGAGAGGACTTTCCGGTACCTTGATTAGTCATACGACGTCGCTCATGCACCAGAAGTAACTGCATAATATCATTAGATGTCGCGGTAGCACCGCTCACTGCGTTTGTCGATTGTGAATCGGTATTGGGAACAGAGGACAGACCGGTTGAAGAGCCTCCGGAAGACGTGGAAAATCCGGTTGGAACACGACCAGGAGCTAAGGTCTGCGTGACTGATTCACTTGATGATGAGCCCAACATGGTGGTCTGATCTGTGTTGGACGAACCCGATCCGAAATCCGTGCCCGAACCCCGATCAAGTTCTCCGAGACCTAGGAAAAGACGAGGGATGAAATGTGTCAGACAGCTACAACTTGGGATAAAAAGACGATAGAGACAAGAGGGACTATACGAAATCAATTTGGCAACGTTTCCCAATAAAGTAAAATACCTGGATTCGGGGCAGCACATAGTATACTAGTTAGTGAACCGTACCTAAGTTGACCAATGTCAACGAAAAATAACAATTCGGCAAATGAAGGCAGTATATTGTTTCAGGGGTACTATTGAAATGGAAGAAAAAAACAAAGTACACAAAGGGAGGCATACCGATGTATAAACGAAGAAAATCAATCCTCACACAGATGTAGTAATGCGACTCTCGAAATCGGTTCATCGATCAGCCAGCAGGATCATCGGAGTCATCTACACGAAGTTTGGGCCGAGGCCAACCATTCCCTCATACACTTATCAACAATACTATAAAATGAGAGCCAGTTAAAGCCATCCCTGATTCATGTTTAGGGTTGCACATGAGGTCCCCCCCAGAGGCAATTTGTGTGTTTACAGATCACGTGATCAACTTTAAAACAGCTAGATTTCAAATGCATGAGTGACAGATAGAGGTTTGCCTAGGGTTTGTGAATATCTAACTATGCACGCATACGCTAAATTAGACCAAACGCAGGATTTGACACCCCATCAGAAATCGATTGTTTTGACCACAGGCCTACTATCAATTCACACAGCAGAGAATAAAATACAGTAAACGTACACATGCACGCACATTCGAATCCATTGTACGTCTATGGACGAAAATCATCTCTCAAATTTGAACAAAACGAGGAGGAGAATTAATTTATCGGTTACCCAATGCATCCATGCAATCCAAAATTTCAAAGACCGGAGCGTTAAATGAACGAAAACACAAAGCACTCCGATCTTTATAGGCTTCAAATTTCGGCGAATTGAAACCGGTCCTGTGAGGAATCTATTACTGACTGGAAGCGATCATCTATGATTATATCACTCACATTGTGTCTATTCAATAACCGATTACAATATATATATATATATATTTACCACCGGCTTGAAAACAAGCATGGTGCCAACGCAACAACAATGACAGTGAAAGTGGATAGATGGATTAGGATACAGAACATGGTGAAAAGTGGGTGAGACAGTTAAACATGGAAAATACAAGATAACAGAATTTTTTGTGTGTTTCACCGTACACCTTTTGCAATTTTTTTGTTGTTTGATGTTTCGTTTTTCTTAATGGGCACGGG